TGGGGTGGTAGACTCTTTAGTGTTCTCTGACAGTTTCTGAAGGAATAACTGTTTTTTTGTTTTCCTTCTGTTGCCTCGTAAATTTAAACTCCAGGTGAATCCAAGAAATATTAGATTTAGTTTTTTTCTTTTATTATTATTATTTCTTGGTAACCAGAGCTGTCTATTAGGTTTGATGCAGGTCCGAAACCAATAAAGAAGTCAATCTCTCCTAGTGTTTACACTAATTTCTCCTATTCTCTCCTATTCTTTGTTATGGTTGTCCCACAAAAGAAGTAATGTGATAGGTAGTCTTTGTTCACAGCCTTTGGCTGTGGTAGGAAAATGACTATTTCACCATGTAGTGGCTTTGTTGGGCTAAGGATATGATGAAGAAGCTGAGTGTAGATGTGTAAGACAGAAGTTCACAGTCCCCTGGGAACATAACACAGGAGAGATTTTTAACTTGAGATTATGACTGAGTGATTAGCTCAGAATATATGTGTGGAAAAATGAATTATGTGTGTAAGGATAATCCTTTACCAGTCCCTCATCTCTTTCCCCAAAGTGCACATCTCACACTAGAAAAATCCCTTTGTGGGACCAGCAGTTAGTGTAAAGGCTATGTTGCCGAACTCCCATGTAGTCAACCATAGTTCGAGTCCCGGACCCGGTGGCTTAAACTCACGCTGGGTGCATGTGCATGTGTGCCCAAGATCCCAAGAGGAGAAAGGAGAAGGGATTACAGTGTGGCCATCCCCCCTGGGGGGTGATTTCTCACTCTCTGTCTGACTCTCTCTGTCTCTCTGGTGAGTGCACATGCCCTATAGCAAAAACCTCTCAAAAAAAAAAAAATCCCTTTGTGATCAGAAGGTGATGTGGAAGTAAAGGCAGCTGGATCCCACACAGCTGATTGCAGGTTCAAGTCCTGGAATCAGTGCCTTGAGGAACATGCTGGCATATGCATGTGTCCCCAGAATCCTGAGAGGAGAATGCAGTAGAAGGGACTGCGGCATGGCCATCCTCCCCCAGAGGTAACTTCTCACTTCCCCTCTTTTTCTGTCTGCTTCTCTCCATACCCTATAGCATTCATACCCTATAGCAAACTAAATAAAAAGAAAGAAACAAAGAAGTTAAAAAAAACTGGATTTAAGAGAAACAAAAATCCCTGAGTATGGAGTAAGATTTCATTCACAGCTCCTCAGTAATCCCATACGTTTTAACACACATGAGGAAGAAAGATCCCTTATGTCTGTAGTATGCGGTGTAGAAAAATCACAGGGGCCAGTTATTTATCTTCTGAGAGATTTTTACTATAGGACACATGCACTAGCTGGAGAGACAGACAGAAAGTGAGAAATTACCCCCAGAGGGATGACCATTGCCACAATCCCTTCTGCTTTCTCCTCTCGAGATTTTTTTGGATATGCACACGCAAGTACCCAGTGAGTTTTAAGCCACGAGGACCAGAACTTAGACTGCTATTGACTACATGGGATGTAACTATTATGTGATGTAACTATTATGTGATGTAACTATTATGCCATTTGCTGGTCCCAAGGTCAGTTATTTTTTAATCCTAAACAAATTTACAGTGGAAGAAACCATGTAAATATCTGTGTGGGAAAGCATTTAATTGTTTACCTTAGACAACATGAGCAAACTCACAAAAAATAGAAACTATGTAAATACTATTCATGTGAGAAAGCCTTTAGTGAAATCTCTGGCTTCAGACATCACAAGTTAATTCACACTGAATTGAAACCTGTTTGATTTCTGAATAACCATCTCATGTTCAGGCCTCTTTTGAACTATATGACCTTGCATCAGTCTTTGTGTTCCTGTCTATAACCATCCTTTAGTACAATTCATTTTCAGAATAAACCTTGGGTTTGATTTTCCAAGCAAGTCTGGGAAAAACAATATAGTCCCCATTCTACAAGGAAGAAATGGATAATGAAGGGAAGTGAGAAAGCACCCCCAGGGAGGATGGTCATGCCACCATCCCTTCAACTGCATTCTCCTCTCAGGATTCTGGGGACACATGCATATGCCAGCATGTTCCTCAAGGCACTGGTTCCAGGACTTGAACCCGCAGTCGGCCATGGGATCCAGCTGCCTTAACTTCCACATCACCTCCTGATTACAAAGGGATTTTTCTAGTGTGAGATGTGCACGTTGGGGAAGGAAATGAGTGACTGCTAAATGATTATCCTTACACATATAATTCATTTTTCCACACATATATTCTGAGCTAATCACTCAGTCATAATCTGGTAAGAAATGGATATGATAAAATGCTATTAAAATAAATACAACTACTCACAAATATAAGTCAATCAACAAGAATTTATTGAGTACCTATTATGGATAAGGTATTTTATACATAAGATTCAATGATGACTAAAACAGATACAGGACTGGCTCTTTTGTTTATAGTTTGTGGTCTACTGTGGAAGATAAGTATCCATCACATACTTTTAAGAATGATGAATCTAGGGAACCAGCAGTTAGCGTAATGGCTATGTCGCTGGACTCCCATGTAGTCGACCACGGTTCACATCCCGGACCTGGTGGCTTAAAACTCACGCCGGGCGCATGTGCGTGTGTGCCCAAGATCCCGAGAGGAGAATGGAGGAGAAGGGATTGCGGTGTGACCATCCCCTCTGGGGGGGTGATTTCTCGCTTTCTGTCTCTATGTCTCTCTCTGTCTGTCTGGCGAGCGCACGCACCCTATAGCAAAAACCTCTCAAAAAAAAAAAAAAAGAATGATGAATCTATAAAGTAAGGTGTTAGGGTAATCTCATTTTGGGGATGATCAATATTATAAATAGGAATGTCAAGTACAGAATATACCTTTAAAGGACTTAATTACCTGAACCTGGATACATGTAAAATCAAGCATCAATGGGACTGGTTCTCAGGTAGGTGAAAACTGTTAACATTATTTACTAATGCTGAAACCAACTCCTTTAAAATTATTTTACTCATGCAGGCTTTCTGGGCTCCTATTTTTAGGGGGGTTGAGAACAAGTCTTCCAATGATCAGACCTATTCCATTTTGGATACACAGCACTACTAGTTAGGATAGTATTAAAATACTTTCTTACTACTCAGGCACAGAGAATGAATGGTCAGTCTTGGGCACTAGTCCATCAGAACAGACCAGGTGGACACTAGCCTGGCCTTCCACAGTCCACTCAGGATAGGATTTACCACCACTAGCTTCTCAGATTTTTATGCATATCTGTTAATTCCACTGACTGGACAATGCGGATGCTGGGTCCTCAGTCTTTGCTTTTTCCTTATCTCTCTCTCTCTGATGTTGCTGAACCTGAGTTGGCCTTCCAGCTCTGTCAACTCAAAATCATGTTACTACTATTTTTCAAGACCTACACTGATTAGAAATCTGAATTTCTCAGCCAGACTCTTATATTGGTATCTACTTCTTCAATCATTGGTCCTGAGGTCACTCCATCCTCTTAATTATTTGTTATGTTCCTGGGTGCAACCCCTATGTGGTCCTTCAAGAGTGTGCATGTCCTCCTTTGACAGGATGTGAATCTATGTGCTTAATAACTTTCTGTAGATATCCCCTGACAAGTGTTTGGTGTCTTCTGTTGAGCCACCTCCATAACCACTGGACAGAAAAGCCAGGTAAAAGGCATGTATGGCTTTAAGCTTTCCAGAAGTCTTTACTTTGGTAGCAGAACCCAAATGTTCCCTTGGACAATTACATGTCTCCTGTATCACTCCATGTGGCTCCAGGGTGAAAATTCAGGCCCAGACTCAAAACACGATATCAAAGGGACACCCAGCAGCTAAATACAACACATGGTGATACTAAACACAAGTGTTAGGAACTGAATGTTTCTAATTCTGCCTGAACTCATATGTTGAAATCCTAACACCCAAGGTGATGGTGTTAGTAGGTGAGGCTTTTCGGAGGTGATTAGGTAAGGAGGGTAGAGTCCTCATGAATGGGATTAGTATTCTTTTTTTTTTTTTTTTTGGAGAGGTTTTTGCTATAGGGCGCGTGCGCCCGCCAGACAGACAGAGAGAGATATAGAGACAGAAAGTGAAAAATCACCCCCCAGGGGGGATGGTCACGCCACAATCCCTTCTCCTCCATTCTCCTCTCGGGATCTTGGGCACGCTCCCACACGCGCCTGGTGTGAGTTTTAAGCCACCAGGTCCGGGACGCGAACCATGGTCGACTACATGGGAGTCCAGCGACATAGCCATTATGCTAACTGCTGGTTCCCAGTGGGATTAGTATGCTTAAAGAAAAGACACAGAGCTTGTTTCTTTTGTTTCTTCTTCACCAAGTGAGGATACAATGAGTAGAGAGCAAATCTATAGAAATCCTTCCTTTGCAAAATAAAGTGAACAGGAAGTAATTAACGCTGTCTGTGATTTGTTGTTGGGTAGGTTTTCAGTTTGATAAACTTACGGAATGGCACACAGGTGTAGTCTGCTGCACAGAACTTCCCTAAACCTCCAAGGGAGTCTAGGCTGGCTATCAAATTCAGTAGGGAAAATAAACTTCACTTGCTGAAGAACACCAAGAAACCCCACAAACACACCTGCCACTAAGAGTCAGCCTTCAAGCCCTTCACTAGGATTTATTTGGGAATTTGGGGGCATTGCACCAGCAATCCTAGTATGCTCACATTTCAAATGGTAAACTGAATGTCACTTAGGCTACCTAATTGGACTTCCAGAGGCAAAGGTGGAATATGAACTCACACCCAGACCTCCTATACTCACGCGCTCAGCAGCTAGTTCATTGTCCTCTCCCCCCCCCCCCCCCCCATCTTCCGTCCTGGCCTTCTTGCAAGCAACCACCTCGTATGCGAGGCTTTTGGAAACTGATTTTGCACGTGAGGACGCGCACCCGGGCTACAGCAGCACAGTCTCTGACAAACCACTCATTAACTTCAGGGTCCAAGTGGATCCGGATCTGTGGATCCCAAAGTTAAGGTCTTTCTCCCAGATGCCGCCGGGTCCACGGCTCGTACCTGCAGCTCACTTCTGCCCGCCCGAGATCCACCTGCGTTTCTGCTCCCAAACCAGTCCGGCTCCCCAAAGTCCCCCGAAGTCAGGGTGCTCGTTTTTCACCGTACACCAACATTCAGGGACAAAGACTAAGCAGGATTCGGAACAGCGTCTGAAAAAGTGCAGAAAAAGCCACTTCCGACTCAAGATGGCGGCAGAGGGCGGGGCGGCACATGCGCAGAAGGAACACAGGAAACGATCCCCCATTGTCCTGTAGGGAGGTCACGTAAGAGCAAGACTGGACTTCATTTCCCACAAGCCTCTGCGCCAATCCCCTGGTAACCAACGTCAAAAGTTTCCTTTGTTTGCCAGGAAGCAGTCCCGCTGCCTGTGGGCCAGGGCCTGATGGGTAAGTGCGGTTTTCTGCCCATGTGACAGCTCTGGAGCAGTCCGCTCTTTTATTAAATCCTGGTTTGACGACTGGACACATTGTGGGACGAATGTGGTGGATTTAGGCCAACTAATCGATGATATGTAATGATTAGTTTTCATTTTATTTTGGTTAAATGTTTTGCAGTTGTAGGACCCATGACTATTCTCCAAAAGCATTCTAAAAAGCATGAAAAAATCATGTCTCTATTTTACTTGTTAAACTTGGTAACAAACAAGAAGCTAATATGTTAACTAATAAGTTTGCAGTCATTGAAAAGATGTTTCTTCTCACTCACTGAAGTATATTGTACATTTTCCCTGGATTATGTACTTTGGATAAACTGCTGTGTATATGTGAATGAAATAGCAGGGTCATAGGGCAATAGCACTTTATAATCCTTCTTCCATTTTACAGTTATTTGGCTAGAAACTCCTAAGTTCCATTCATCCATCTATCACTAAAATCTTTAGTTTTGAGGAGTTGTTTTTTAGTTTTGTTTTGTCCTGTTTCCATGTGAGATGTACTTCATCTTTGCCTTTGCTATCTTGGTTTCTGCCACAACAGGTTTCACAGAGGGGTTTCTCAGAGCTTCCACTCCTCTTCAAGCAGAGACTCTGGTCATTTAAGTTGATATTGGTTTGAATGTAGGATGGCAGGTGGAGTGAAGTTTGGGGTGGGTGGATGGAGAATGTGAGAGGCTTGATATTTGCCTAAGACTTATCCTTGGTTTATTCTTTTCCTTTTCCTTTCCTTTCCTTTCCTTTCCTTTCCTTTCCTTTCCTTTCCTTTCCTTTCCTTTCCTTTCCTTTCCTTTCCTTTCCTTTCCTTTCCTTTCCTTTCCTTTCCTTTCCTTTCCTTTCCTTTCCTTTCCTTTCCTTTCCTTTCCTTTCCTTTCCTTTCCTTTCCTTTCCTTTCCTTTCCTTTCCTTTCCTTTCCTTTCCTTTCCTTTCCTTTCTTTCTTTTTTATTTTTTGAAGAGTTTTTTTTTTTTTTTTACTATAGGGCTCATGCACTCACCAGACAGAGAGAGACAGAGATAGAAAGTGAGAAATAACTCCCCAGGGAGGATGGCCACACTGCAATCCCTTCTCCATTTTCCTCTCGGGATCTTGGGCACATGTGCACATGCGCCTGGTGTGAGTTTTAAGCCACCGGGTCCGAGACGTGAACCGCAGTCATCTACATGGGAGTCCAGCGACATAGCCATTACGCTAACTGCTGGTCCCTGTACCTTCATTTTTCTAACTTATACTTTGCCTTATTTACATTCTTTGATCTCTGATCTAACTATTCTGTTCCTTAGTGATGTTTGCCTGCAGATTCAGGGAACTCATTCTTGGTCTTCCAAGAGTCCTGTTGCCTCACACTTTGGAATTCCTAGTCTCCCTTACTTAGACCTCTGAATCCTAGATTTCTCTCTCTCAAACTCTTATTGATGGGCTATCTGGGGATCCTTTAAATATATATATATAGTACTGTCTCTATGTGTGTGTGTATATATACATATACATATATATATAATTTGCATTGGTTGAGTGGAGGGAATCTGCTTGATATATCTGATCGATCTCTAGGATAGGGATTGTCATTCTTTTTTTGTCATGATCTCAGTCTTCTATCCATAGAAATGGAAACAGTAATATACATTTGGATGTGTAGACCTCATACTATGCTCATATCGAAAAATACATAGTCTAAGAATGCAGTCTTTTTCCTGCTTCTCTGAAGGTAAAATAGCCAAGAAGAGGAGGCTCAGGGATGATACTGAGATATTTCCAACACTAGCCTTGTATAGCTTAGTGTTCAAATGTATTCATTTTTTAGTTGCCAGAGGGTGATGAAATACAGGATGAAAATATGAGATACAGAATGAAGAATGGCACTTTGATATCCTGTAGGAAATGGTGAATGTGAGCATCTTAGCAATAGGAGGGGTTCTGGCTAGTACTGTCCTTGAGTATAACGATTTTGGAAGCCTCTAGCAAGCCTCTAGCTTATGCTTCTGAACCATCTACTTTATACCTTATAATGAATACCTGAGTTGTGTAGAGATGTGAGCTGCTGCACCTGTTGACTACAAGTACTCTGTGTGGTTTATTTATTTTTTTCTTTCTTTTTTTGGGAGGAAGAGGTTTTTTTGCTATAGGGTACATGCGCTCACCAGACAGGCAGAAAGAGACAGAGAGACAGAAAGTAAGAAATCACTCCCCAGGAAGGGGGTCCATGCTGCAATACCTTCTCCTCCATTCTCCTCTTGGGATCTTCGGCATGCACGCACACACGCCCGGCATGAGTTTAAGCCACCGGGTCCAGGACTCGAACTGCGGTCGACTACATGAGAGTCCAACAACATAGCCATTATGCTAACTGCTGGTCCCTGTGTGGCTTGTTTAGTTTTACAAAATGCCAAGCATAGTTTCTAATTTCTTTACTTTTTTTTTTGTTGGCATCTCCCCCGGGCTTGAGTCTGGCTGAATCATGATCAGAGGGCTGCTGTTGAGGAAGAGAAAGAGGACAAGAAAGAGAAAGCCCTCCATCTTGCCAGGACCAGGGAATTGGAAAGAATGAGACAAAGGGATAGAGTAGAAATGAACACAGACAGCCTGCTTAGGTAGCCCAAGCAACTTATGCCACCCAGAGGAACTAAACTGGATGTCTTTATTTATAATACAAGGAGACATTACACATGTATGTTTCGTGACACTTCATAGATTGGTTGCCAGGTTACAGACAATAAGAAGCAATTAACAAATCTATGAGGGCTTAGTCATACCAGGCCAGGTGTATCCCTTGGTAATAATCCCATCAAGAGAAAATCTCATCTTCTTTTCTAATGCAGAGAACTAGCTGTTAAGTGTGGGGAAGGAGCTAAAGAACTTCTCTATAAGGAGTGCACCACCACACCCAGAGAAGGCTAAAGAACCTTTCAGATGCAGAGCAGGGATTGGATTTTACTAATTGGGGTCAAGATGTTTCTCTTGAAGTCCATCAGATGTGTATGTTGAATGCCCCCTAGTAATTTCCACCCTTGCTCTGTCTGCAGCCAAGGTCAGGGAAAGACAAGTTACAAGGTTCTGCCAAACCCCAAAAGAGCAGGTGGTGTTTGCTCAGAGCATGTCCCCACACCTCAGATTCTCTCTCTTAAATGTGTCCCCACATTTTTTAAACAGAGCTTTTCTTGGCTATAGGGTGTGTGTGTTTGCTGGAAAGACAAGAGAGACAGAAAGCAAGAAATCACCCCCCCCCCCAAGGGGGTTGGCCGTGCTGCAATTCTTTCTCCTCTGTTCTCAAGATTTTTGAGCACACGTGTATGCACACAAACCCATCATGAATTTCAAGCCACCGGGTCTGGGACTCAAACTGCAGTCAACTACTGGGGAGTCCAGTGATGTAACCGTTACACCACTTGCTGGTCCAAAATGTCTTTACTGTTTTAATAAATTCCAGGCACTTGTACATATCGATATATGCTAATTATGGGGCCCTTTACATATCATCAAATTGGCTCTTTCAACACTGCTAACTAACCACATCACAGAGGGGGGAATTCAGATTCACATAGGGAAACATCTACTTGAACTTCATTGGCTATTATAGGCAATATAGAAGTCTAGTGCTGTTTTGAAGGCAGTTAGATGTGTTTTTTTTTTTGAGAGAGATTTTCACTGTAGGGCGCGTGCGCTCGCCAGACAGAGAGAGACATAGAGACAGAAAGCGAGAAATCACCCCCCAGGGGGGATGGTCACGCTGCAATCCCTTTTCCTCCATTCTCCTCTCGGGATCTTGGGCACACACGCACATGCGCCCGGCGTGAGTTTTAAGCCACCGGGTCTGGGACACGAACCGTGGTCGACTACGTGGGAATCCAGCGACATAGCCATTATGCTAACTGCTGGTTCCCAGAAGGCAGTTAGATGTGTTTTGATGGAATTTTGGGGAGTTCTCATCATACATCATACTCAGACCATACCTATTGCTTACCTGTAGATTTACTTGAAATTGACTTGGAGGATATTTTAATTATGTGCACTGATGCTCAAAAATTAGGATCAGCAGTCTGGGGACCAGCAGTTAGTGTAATGGCTATGTTGCTGGACTCCCATGCAGCTGACTGCAGTTCGAGTCCCGGATCTGGTGGTTTAAACTCACGCTGGGTGTGTGTGTGTGTGTGCATGCCCAAGATCCCAAGAAGAGAATGGAGGAGAGGGGATTGTGGTGTGGCCATCCTCCTGGGGGGATATTTTCTCGCTTTCTGTCTTTATCTTTCTGGCAAGCACACACCCTATAGCAAAAAAACTCTCAAAAAAACAAACAAAAAACAGCAGTCTGAAAGCAAAAACTAGCACTTTTTTTTTGAGAAATGTCAAGTTTCTTTAACGCACCATGTGATATTACTCTATAGTGAAGTTGCTTACTCTGTGCAAATGTCCTCCTTCTCTTTGAGTGTATGTGAGGGTGGCATACTCAACAGAAATATTTGACTGCAGCCATGAACAGAATTTTAACTGACACCATTGTGTCAACCATCCTCCCCCATACACTGGCAGGGATGACCCTGGCTGAACCTGAAGCTCCTGATGTTTTAGGAATGACATTCACAGATGTATCTCTGGACAATACCCAGAAGAATGGATCCTACTATTTAGATAAAGGCCTTAGAATGCTGTTTGGAGATGTCATGCTGTGGGAACTAACTAAATAAAATAGTAAGAAGCACATACAATTACATTTAATAGTCAAGGAAAAAAAACCATCATTTTAATATGAAAAGCAATTCAATGTCAGTGGTGGTAATAAGGAAACAATTTCCAATATCAACCTGATATATTTTTTCATCAGATCGTAGGTTATAAAGGTTATTGGTATTGTCCTGGTAATTAAGTTGAACCAAATACTTTCATTGGCTATTACAGGCAACATAAATGGCCAGTGCTGTTTGAAGGCAGTTATATGTGTTTTGATGGAATTTTGGGGAACACTTATTTTACTTTAAAACGTATTCTTGTATATAGGATTATGGCATTTGGAAGTATCTGATAAAAATCACTTCTAAATGCCTCTGCTCATATATTGTCAGATGTACAGGTAATCATACAACAAAGAAACAAAGGGATTTGGCTTCAGAAGAATGCACAATAAGTTACAATCCCATTGGCCACAATCAAATTTCAACAAATCTTACACAGAGGGGGTGTGGAAAAGAAGCAAATCAGGGTGACCAGAGAGGAAATAGCAGGGAACTAGGGAAGAGACAGTCACCAGATATTGTTGATTTCTTTTTATTTTTCTACTCTCTCTAGGAATTTCCTGGAAAATTTTACAGTAAACTCCTCCTCTGCTGCTCTTCTTGCCTTCACATAAGAAGTGTGTTAAGTAGATAGGCCTAATTCCTCTTTCCAACAGTATAAACATTTCTGAGGCATGGTTCCTGTAGTGTTTTACTGTGAGGTGAGTACTGAAGTCATGTGAACTTTGCAAGATTGGCTCTTCCCTCATCTCAAATCCATCTACCCAACTGCACTCATCCTCCAGGTATTCCTATTATATTCATTCATTTAGAATGCCTTTGTTTTCTGCATATCATATAAAAATTTCCAAGAAATGCCCTGCTCTCTCCCTCCTTGTGAATGAATGAGTACAGTTAGCTCCTTCATGTGGACCCCTGGAACACATGGAGCTCTTATCTCTTTGCACTCAATTTCTATTTGTCTGAAGATGGCTGAGAACATCTTGTAGAGGTGGAGAGACATCATCTCCCTAGTTTTCAGTGGCCAAGGGATGGTTCCAACATTTCCTGTTACTTACCTTTGTCAGTTTTCATGCTCAATCTTTTAATTGGAAGCTATGTTCCAGGACTTACAGGGGTTCCTTTGTTTCATATTCTCCTTATATGAGCACCTCTTGCTTCTTTTTATGCACCTGAAGGCCCTATGGTCCTTACACTTCACCTGTTAAATCAGTGAGAATGACACTATAACCTGTTTAAGGTCTAAGAAGATGGATCAGACTGAGGGAATACTTCAAGATAAAGTGTGCATTGTATATGTGACACAAAGTTCATGGTACTGCAAGACACAAAAGGACCTAAACACAAATTTAAAGAATTCAGCTAGGATTAAGGTGAATAGTTCATCTGTTATGGAGAAGAAAGCATAAACAATGGATGTCAGAGCATGAACACTTTTAAATTTCACAGGTGAAAATATCATAAATGTGTTTCATTTGCAAAATTGTATGCAAAACATGAGTTTTACAGTGAAATATGATTATGTGGAAATCCAGTAGTCATGGCAAAAGTGTGAATTTTTTTCCATTTTGAAGTAAATTCGTCTATTAACACACATTGGGACTTGGTCATAAACAAAAAACTTCTAAAAGGTCTTTGTGTCTCAAGGCAAATGAACATTTATCACATGATTTTTTGACCTCAAATCCCTGTCAGGTCTACTACCCTGATGAACTAGAGGAAACTTTGTAGACCCTATAATACCTCTTCTTTTTCAGATTCTCAAAGCTCATTGTGACTTGTCTCTCTGATGCTATACTGTGAAGTCCCTGTGCTGTGTGAGGGTACTGCAATACTGAGTGGATTCCATCATTCCTATTCAAACTTCTTTGTCATATAAGGTCAGCTAATTTGCCTACATAAACTCAACCTAACATTACATAATATACATCAGACAATGTACCACAAAACATAGCTCTTCTCCTTTGTCTTATAGAGGAACTTAAGTTCCAAAATATATACAAAACTTTCTTCCATCTCCAACTGTTTCTGATTCTTCCCAGCTTTATGCAAAGCAGCCTCATTCATACATTCTTCACCAGCTACAACCAAGTGGTGTTTTGTCTTCCATTGTACCTCTAAAGATGAAAGGTTCTGATCCCAAGTCTTCACGTGTTCCAAAGTTCCAAAAAACAGCAAAATATGCCATGCCCAACACTTAAAATAACACAGCAAAATAAGAATAAATGTGACCATTGAAACAACTTTGGTTTAAGTCCCATTTGTCTTATGAGTATTTCTCCAACAACAGTTTTCTTTCCAAAACCAAATACATTTGATCTAAACCTATATCACCAACCACTGACCATTAAAGACACTTACTTGGGAGGAAAAAAATACAAAAGCAAAATAGAAAAAATGACAAGCTGTTTCAGTTTCCTCAAGATGTCAGTCCATCCTTACCAGTTGGCAAGAGTCCTTCAGCAGTGAACCACGGATCTTCCATCAAGACTACTCACTTCTCTTTATTTGCCAAATGAACTTGAGCAACATCTCAGTCATTTTGGCAATCTCCTAAGCCTTCTCCTCTGCTATCTCATACAACTCCGACACTCTCATCAGCTTCCCCTTTTGGATGCTGAACATGATTGAAGGGATTCCCCTTCAAGGCCTCCACCTGGGCATTTATTTGAATTGGCATATTGTTCATCTCCCATAATTTGCTCCTGGTCCTCAACTATGATCTTCCATTCTCCTGTGTAGGAGGCAATATTCTCCCTCATCTCGTTGATGACTGGCAGTAGAAACTGCCTGAACTCTTCTTTAGCTCCCAGCACTTCTTCCTTCTCTGGTGCTTCCACCTCGTTGATGTCCAATGGTCACATTTTTTCTGCCACTTCTTCAAAATTACAGTATTGATTTCTCCCTTACTCATACCCCTTGGGACAGTTGATTAACAGTTACTGCTGGAGCCAAAGCGACCAACGCTCCTTGTCAAGAGTAGTCTTCAATTAAATTTAATTTTTTCTCTCTTTTAATTTAAAGCCTCTTGCTTGAAACTGCTGTGGGAAGACCAGGCTCACAGGAGCACAGCTGATATGCCAACAAAATAAACTCCACGAACTATTTTTTTTCATTGAGCATGAGAGAAAGAGTTGACAGGCGACTTAAAATGATTGCCAGGCATTTTTGAAAATAACCAAAATGACCTCAGATGCAATGCCATCCTCACTATGTTTCTTTCCTAGTGGAGTTGTTTATTTTAGGAAATCAGGAATTCTAACTAGAAGTGCCTCCGTCTGCAGGGTAAGTATTCCACCCAAATATACAATTCATTTGTGAATGGGGTGGCCATAAAAGTATTTAGTATTATACTGTTAACAGATGGGAAAGTGTGGAGCTGCGTTGTGAAGCCCTTGGTTCTTTGGGTCCAGATCACTAAAATTAGAGATCTGTCCCTAGGCGCAAAATGAAACCGCAAACATGAATGAAGTAGGTAGAAAAGAAGGTTTAATAAAAAGAGAGGAAAGGAAAGAAAGGAAGTATACCCAAAAAGGTTCTTGGGTGGGCAGATTGCCAAGTGGCAACCATGCTTAGTACTAGTTAACTGTTATTTTTATTACTAGAGATCATGAATATTCATTAGCGGGGAGGCCCGTTTATGCTGCCTATATCCTTCCTTTGAATTTGAATCCTCACGTTCTTTCTTGCACCTGCGTACCTTCCTCACAAATAAAGAATGAGGAACTTGATCACCTAATCACACACGCCCATTGTGAGCCAGGTTGTCTCAATTAGACTGCCCAATTAGTCCATCGCCCTAATGAGAATTAGGGCATCGACCAAAACGCTTGCTTAAGTCTTTTTGATAAGAGAAAAATCTATGAATCATCCCTCTGTGCTTCTCTCAGACCCTAAGGAAGGAAGATGGCAAAATGCCTCGCCCTCCTGGCACCTGGAGCTAGATGAGCCTTTCACTTTTCTTTTAGGGCTGCCCTCTCACGACTAACTGCCTATCACAATACCATGTAATTTAACTTTTTTACACAAAGATAAAGTTTAAATTGTCTTCCTACTTTCTTTTTGGCAATTAAATTCTCCCCATGTTCTTGAAAGTACAATGTGGCTAGTGTCCTATCACTATCCTAATACATTCCAGTTACATTTTATTTAATTTATATATATATATATGTGTGTGTGTGTGTGTGTGTGTGTATAGTAGTTTTCATATTCATTTATCTTCTATTTTATTTTCAAGTCAGTTTTCCTCCAGGTTCCTCCAAATTATGTCTATAGATTCCAATTATTTATGGTTCTCCCTTGTATTTCCCAAACCTAGAATGTGTCCTGATACATAGAATGGAATCACATATATATATATTTCTTTTTAAAATTTTTTTAGAGAGAGATTTTTGCTATAGGGCACTTGCATTCACCAGAAAGAGACAGAAAGCAAGAGATCACCCCCCTCGCCCCACCCCACCCCCCCAGGGAGGATGGCCACAATCCTTTCTCTTCCATTCTCCTCTTGGGATCTTTGGCATGCACGCACATGCACCCAGCATGAGTTTTAAGCCATTGAATCTGGGACTTGAACTGAGGCTGACTACATAGGAGTCCAGTGATATAACCATTATATCATCTGCTGGTCCCAGAATCAGATATATTTAGAAAAGAGTAAGGAACAGAATGAATTCTAATTTCCCTTCAAACTGGCCTTTCTTATTTGCTCTCTTTGTGTCAAAATTTTAGTTTTGGGGAACCAGCAGTTAGCGTAATGGCTATGTCGCTGGACTCCCACGTAGTCGACCGCAGTTCATGTCCTGGACCTGGTGGCTTACAACTCACGCCGGGCGCATGTGCGTGCGTGCCCAAGATCCCGAGAGGAGAATGGAGGAGAAGGGATTGCGGCGTGACCATCCCCCCTGGGGGGTGATTTCTCGCTTTCTGTCTCTACGGCTCTCTCTGTCTGGTGAGCGCACGCGCCCTATAGCGAAAAACTCTCCCCCCCAAAAAAATTTAGTTTTGTAGTTGTCTGGAGAATCCATTCAAATTGAAAAGTGTGTCCTCCACTGAATAACCTTGGTTAGATAACTGAAATCAGGGTGTGTCCCATGGGATGGGATTAGGTTCCTGATTAAGTTTATTAACTATTTCTCCCCCCTCCCTATAAAAGGAAAGTCAAACAGAGGATGTATTTTACCATTGGGAGACATTGACCAGTTGAGGACGTTGGGAGAGGAGCAACTTACATCTTGTCTGTAGAACCTGCCTCAGAATCTAGCTGGCTTCACCGTCTTCTCCAGCTTTTGGCCTTTGGTGAGTTCTCTGAACAATAATGTCTGAGCAGGCCTCATTCCTCTACAATTATGTAAATCCTGTCTATCCTGAGACTTTTGTCATATCAGAGCAACATCTTACAATCTTTGAATTTTATCGTATCAACATTTACTTCACATTCATTTCCTAATTTTGACTATTAGTCACTTTTGCCATTTTTATCTTGAATCTTTTTAAATTATTTTAACTGTTTCCTCTACAATTCTATTAATAGATCTGTGCTAATATAGTAACACTATTATATGTGGCAGTATAATTTGCATTAAAATTATTTAACTAAACTTCAGATCCTGAAGTATGTCTATATCTAGCTTCACTTCAAATGATTTTTTACTACATATATCCAGTAGCTACTATATTGAACAATGCAGATATAGGACATTTCTTTAATCGCAGAAAGTTCTGTTAGACGTGGTGATCAATATCTTATCATTTTTATTCTATTTCTGTCCTATACATTATGCTTCTGTATTAATCTTTTTATGTGTATTGTCATGTGATTTTTTTAAAAAAATATTTAACTCAATTGTGATAGATACTTGTATAATTTCTTTTAATCTTTTTTTTTTAACAAAATTAATGTACATTGGGGGAATAATTTTCATCCTATAGTGTTCCATTAGTACTTTTATCTGATGAATTCAAGAATTAGCACTGATTTTCATAATATATATTTCAAAAAAATTTTTGTGAGGCTATCCAATACAGATTTTCTACCTTATTTTGTCAATGGGAATAACCAATTCTGCTAATAATAATAATAATCAATGTGATTTCTGTCCTTTTTTTTGAAAGAGATTTTTGCTATAGGGCATATGCGCTCACTGGAATGACAGAGAGCAAGAAATTACCCCTTCCTGGGAGGGTGGGGGTAATGGCCACGCCTCAATCCCTACTCCTCCATTCTCCTCTCGGGATCTTGGGAATGCACACACATGTGCCCAGTGTGAATTTAAGTCATCAGATCCAAGACTAAAACTGCAGTCAATTATGTGGGAGTCCAGTGACCTAACCATTATGCCATCTGCTGGTCCAAGTGCAGTTTCTCTCTCTCTTGCTCTTTTTTTTTTTTTAATAATTATCTTTATTTAACTTTATTTATTTAAATTTGACCAGAGGGGGACAGAGCGAGAGAGAGAGAGAAAGTGAGAAAGAGTCTGGGACATGAATCGTGGTTAGCTACATGGGAGTCCAGCACCTTTAACTACCATGACAATGGCCACCTGTTGGCCCTGCCAATGTGGTTTATTTCTAAGCAGAATATGAGTGACCTAAAACAGGAAAAGAGTCAGGCTTCCGTCCTCAATTATTTATTTTTTTTGAGAGGTTTTTGCTGTAGGGTGCATGTGCTTGTCAGACAGACAGAGACAGAGAGACAGAAAGTGAGAAATCACCCTCCAGAGGGGATGGCCATACCGCAATCCCTTCTCCTCCGTTCTCCTCTTGGGATCTTGGGCACGCATGTGCACACGCCCGGTGTGAGTTTAAGCCACCGGGTCGAGGACTTGAACCATGGTCAACTACATGGGAGTTCAGCGACAGCCATTACACTAACTGCTGATCCCAGATTAGTTTATTTTTAACACCCATCATGCCATGAATTCATAAATAGGTTCCAGTAGCTCAGGCTCCTTTCAATTGGTTCTCACAAAGTGTGCTTCTCTGGGTGGAGCAGGCTGGTGCTTTAGTTGAACCCAGGCACCTTTCTCTTTGGCTTCCTTCTTTTTTATTTATTTTTTTGGTCATTTTCATTCACACATTTTAGGAAACTATCGCTGCTCTTAGAATGTTTAATGTGCTCAATCGGGACCAGCAGATAGTATAATGGCTATGTCACTGGACTCTTACGTAGTTGACTGCAGTTCAAGTCCTGGATCTGGTGGCTTAAACTCACTCCAGGCATATGTGCGTGTTTGCCCAAGATCCTGAGAGGAGAATGGAGGAGAAGGGATTGCAGCGTGGCCATCGCCCCTGGGGAGGGTGTGATTTTTTTTTTTTTGGGGGGGGGAGAAGTTTTTGCTAACTGCTGGTTCCCGGCTGTGCCTATTAGAACACACTGCATTTTTCTGTTTCTTGTGCGATGGCTCACTTCAAGTGAAGCTATGAGGCCTCATGTTACGTGGTTCTAGAAATTATGTACAAGACTGGAGTCTCATGGCTTCTTTCTCCATCCAGTTTTCCCTGTTCAGTGCCTGGACAATCTGTGAATGAAACACCAGAAGACAGTGGGAAACTGAGTTACTGGCAATGGATCCACTGGTGAGTAGGGAATGTCTTTTTCTACAGAAACTGCTCTCCTGTCACCAGATGGTCCAGTTTCCCCTATTTGCATGGATTTTCCAAGGGGTATCAGGAAGTATTCAGAGAGCTGGGCAACAATTATATTTTTTCAAGACTCTGAGGTGGTTATTATGGGTCAGGGATTCATCAGTAACTAGCATTTTTTTTTATAATACCACCAAAAATTTATTGTAGTCTTCATTACAGTTATATATATTCAGAAGAGATCTGTTTTTTTTTTTTTCTCTGAGCCATGGTCTCATTGGAAAATAAAATAATTTACTTATGACCCATGTAATTAACTGCAGTAGACTTAAAAGTATGGTGACAGAAATGAGTGAAGAGAGTACTCCACAGTCCAATTGGGAGGCAGATGTTTTAGCAAGTGGTTCAATCAGTCTAGTGTCTCAAGTCCTGGAGTGAGACCTGTGCAGTACTAAGGAACAATGAAAAATGGTTTGGCCAGGAAGAAGATGAAAAATCATTTACTTCTTTTCTTCAGATTTTAAACTTCTGAAGATCGAATTCAAAAACTTTTTTTTTTTGGCGAGGTTTTTGCTATAGGGTGTGTGCTTTTGCCAGCCAGACAGAGAGAGACAGAGAGATAGAAAGCAAGAAATCACTCCCCCGGGGGGATGGCCACACCACAATCCCTTCTCCTCCATTCTCCTCTCGGGATCTTGGGCATGCACGCACATGTGCCCGGTGTGAGTTTTAAGCCACCAGGTTTGGGACTCGAAACGTGGTCAGCTACATGGGAGTCCAGCGACATAGCCATTACGCTAACTGCTGGTCCCAAAAACTTCTAAAAAATATAAAAACCCTATTATTATCCTTTGTACTTCTTAGTAACTAATCTTTTATTCACATTTGATAACTGGGAATAATGTAGAGGAAGTATTATTAAATCTTTGTGGCTTTACAATTAGTATAGTGGGAGAATGAGTATACTACAATAGATAGATTAAAATTTCAGTCCTGGGGAAAAATTTGTAAAGCTGGATAGACAAAGATGAGTAAAGAGGCTTCTTTTTTATTTGTAAAGGGAGAGAAGATACAAGAAAATCAATGATAAATGGTGTTTGGAGTTCCCAGTGAAAATTCATAATGGTAAGTATCATACTTGAGGAATAGTCAGGCTGCTACTCTCCTTAGGTATTAAAGTCCCAGAGGTCCCTGGCTTATGCTGCTTAACTATCTATGCCTGAAACTTTTTTGTGAACACCTTGTTATGTAGGGTTGTGAGAGCCTACACCCACTGGTAATAAGAGCTGTATGAAATTTACTCAGTTCTAGAGAATGCTAGAGACTGCCTCAAGGTTCTCTGCCTATTTTTATGAATAGATCAATGGCTTATGATACGTTTGTGAGGTAGGAAGAACTTTTTACATTCATTGGATCTTTCAGCACTCAGAATACTAAACCCTCTCATAAATGAGGAATTTGAGGTTCACTTAAAGGAATCATTTATAAGCAATGTATTCACACTGGGAAAATTCATTTTGTGTATCAAAAAGATGTATAGGAGTTCAATGTAAAAATATAAAAAAAATTTTCTATCCCCAAAGCTTTTCTAGAACTTTCCCACATGTGAAAACAGAGATGTACAGTGATTAAGAGTCAAAAGATAAATAAAAAAGAAATATGGTGTTAAAATCTCTGCTTTTTTCAAATCTCTGCTTCTAAGTACACTTACCTTTACATTTGTGTTGAAACACAATTGTGATGCTATTTATTCTTATTCAAAATACTTGTTTATTTTCAAGTTGGTATTATCACATATGAATTGTTTATTAATTGACAAAGGAAAGTAAATAAAATGCTTTTGTTTTGGAGAATTAAAAAACATAGTCATGGCTTTAAAGTAGTAAATTATTATGGTTTTCCTTGTGATAAGTTTATACAGTATTTAAAATTCATGAGGAAGGTAGTTTTAGTTATGAATTTTCAAGCACAAACTTTATCATCACCTATCTGGAATTCATAATTAAGTTTATTGAAAAATTGCCAAGTTGTATTACACCATACTAAATGTAGTATTTCTTGAAAATAAGAATTTCTGAATTCATACTGTATGTATCTATGTGAGAATTTCTAAAAGGTAGATGTCAGCTCAGCTCTGAGAATGAATAAACTGAAATCCGCAAACACAGTTTGATCTTTCTGTGTTCCTAGTCTCCTCTCTGCCACAGCAGTATTCTCTCAACCCATTCACTCTGGACATTGGTAAGATTGTCTGTCTAGGTACCAGCAGTTAGCGTAATGGCTATGTTGCTGGACTCCAATGTAGTTGACCGCAGTTCGAGCCCCAGACCCAGTTGTTTAAACTCATGCCAGGCGCGTGTGCATGCGTGCCCAAGATCCCAAGAGAAGAATGGAGGAGAAGGGATTGTGGTGTGGCCATCTCCCCTGGGGGGTGATTTCTTGCTTTCTGTCTCTCTGTCTGTGTCTTTCTGGTGAGTGCATATGCCCTATAGCAAAAACCTCTCCAAAAAAAAAAAAAAAAAGAAAACAAATTGCCTATCTAAACTGGAATGTTCATGATGTTCTAGGAATCAGTAACCTTTGAAGATGTCATAATAAACTTCACCCAGGAAGAGTGGGCCCTACTTGACACATCTGGGAGAAAGCTGTACAAAGATGTGATTCTGGAAAATATCAGCCATCTGGTATCTGTTGGTGAGTCTGTCAGTAGTTCTGTATGTAGGTGTACATGTATCTATTCATTCTATTAATCAAGTGTTTGGAAGAGCTTCCTCATATCTTGCTCCAGTCTCTGTCCTGATTTTTTTCTTAGATGAAATAAGAACATTAAAGAAATTTTTGATTATACATTACTTGCATCTAGTTTGTCATTAGAATGTGATCCTGACCATAATTTGGTGTCTTTATTTCTCTTTTTAGTTTATTTAGTTCTTTTTTTATTTAGAATTTTCCTAAATACTATATACTATGGGTGAGAGAGGGAGAGAAAGGAAAAAAATGAGAGAAAGAGAGAGAGCCCTTACAGGGTATTCCTACTGCAGGCTACCCCAAGGTTAAGTTGACTGAGAATATGGGCACACATGCGCCTATCTGGAGGGCTCTAGGAAGCCTTAGGACTTGAACAGAGGACCTTTCCCATGTAGGCTCTGTTGCATTACTGCTGCACCACTTCCTAGCCCTTCATATATTTCTTGGCACCAAATCTCTAAAACTTGGGCCAGAACTGGGAACTCAGTGAATATTTTTAAGACCATAAAGTATGTTGTACATACAATTGTTCTTGGGGGATTTGTTATAGGCCATAAACTCTGTAAATCAGATGTGATTTTCCATTTGGAAGAAGGTGAAATGGTGTGGATGGTGGAAGGAAGAGGATTTCCACAAGGCCAAAGTCCAGGTGAGTTGCAGGTACTTGCACCTTCATATAGGCAGATGCTTGGTTAGTGAACATTTTCTTGGTATTGCCAACTGAAGTTTTTATTAAATAGACATTTCTAAAATGTAGGAGAGGGCATTAGGATAAAATATTTCAGATATTGTTAGTATTCCTTTCAAACATTAATCACAATTTATGCGTCCTACTGGCACAGTTTTTGGTTTTAGGTAAAGAATAGTAATTTTTTATTCAAATTTAATTTTTATATAATGACTCTCTGTTGCTAGCTTTTAAACATAATCCCTTTGGGGCCAGCTGATGACATGGTAGTTGGGGTACTATATCCCCACATGGCCAACTGTGGTTCGAGTCTTGGACCTCGCAGCTTGCTTTCTTGCTTTCCCTCTCTCTCTTTGTTTCTGTCTCTGGTGAGTGTACTTGCCTTACAGCAAGTTAAATATTAATAATTACAAATAAAATTAAAAAAATTTTCCCTTATTTACCTAAATTTATTTTACTTTTTTTCCATTTATATAAAATAATATTTTAATTCTTGTCCTCAGAAACTTAAGACTATATATGATTTGGAAATGAGACTGTACCAAGCAATGGCCAATGAAGCATCATACATTCTATACCTTCTCTTTGGTCTGGTCACTCAAGAAATATAATGTTATTGGCTCTGACTGTTGTTGCCTGTTGCCCCACATTACTTTCAACTGTGTATTTACCATAGTCTACTTCCCCTTCCACATAAATTTGAGACCCTTTTCTCATGATGTGCCAGATCTCTGAGGCCTAGCTGGAATACCGATATTTTGTGCCATGTTGTCTTGACTGACATCACCCATTTGGTACACTTCATTGTCTCCTGATGTCCACATTTCATTTGTTGCCAAAGAAAATATCAGGACTGGATTTTTTTTTTCTTCCACTTATCTCATGACAGAGTCCTGACCCACTCATCCAAGTAACTGCACACGATTCAGAGACCCTTCAAGGATCAAACTGCTAGCTATTTCAGATTCATGTCTTACAAACAGATAAAGTACCTGTAATTCAGGTCTTCAAAATTTGGCTTCCATTTTCTTTTCTTACAATCTAATCCTTAGGTCTTTGCTGACTCTCTATCTCCCCATTTTACTTTTTATATGTTTCAATCCTAAAAGTCTTTTCAATTTGTCAATGTCTTATAATGTATTTATACAGCCTGCAGTATTTATTTATTTGACACATTTGCTCCATTCAAAGTGCCAGTTTTTTTTTTTGAGAGGTTTTTGCTATAGGACACGTGCACTCTTCATAAAGAGAGAGAGAGACAGAGAGACAGAAAGCAAGAAATCACCCCTCGGGGGGATGGCCACACCGCAATCCCTTCTCCTCCATTCTGCTCTTGGGATCTTGGGCACGCATGCACATGCACCTGGCGTGAGTTTAAGCTACTGGGTCCAGGACTCGAACCATGGTTGACTACATGGGAGTCCAGCAACATAGCCATTATGCCTACTGCTGATCCCCAAAGTGCCAGTTTTAAAAACATACATAGATCTATATTCTTTTCAATATTTTAATTTTTGTAGTGCTATGCTAACAATTTTTTCTGCAATTATTATAGGTCGGGAAGTTGCACATAAAATGCAAGAAATCATACCCACACAACAGATCAGTAGGGAGGACACACCCACTGTCATATCAATGGTAAGTTCATGGATGTCGACCCTGGTCATCCAAATATTTATCAACTGAATATGTTAGAGATTCAGCACAATTGCCTGAGTGTAATCAAATCACTACTAAGCTTTTTATAAGCCATAGGTTTAGGATAATTTGAATTTAGTAAAAACTAACATAAGTTTAAATCCATAACCTGAGATCATTAAAACAGTGAGCAACTGCATAAGCATTACTCATATGCCTATTCTTTGCAATAATTGATGTCTTCAAAATTAATCTGATAGTCCTTTAGTTGGGCTGCTACATAAGAGAAAATCTTTGGCTCAGAAGAAAGTACCACACCATGTATATGCAAGTAACAATGTTCCCATTTTAACTCTAGATTTAAAATTATTATTTTTATACTAATATTTAGAAAAATCAATGTATGAATATATGTGTGCAAATCAGTAACAGCATTTCATCTTCTTCATAGAAGCAGAAATCTCGTACTCAAGAAGATCCATCTAAATGGAATAATTTGGCAAAAAATCTTACTAAAAGCTCTACATTGGGTCAAAATATGTTACCTCAAACAGAAAACAAATCCTTTGTCAGCAAACAATGTGGAAAATCCTTTAGTAATTACTTGCATCTTAATCAACACCAGAAAAATCAAAGTAGTAAAATATATGAGTGCCATCTGTGTGGGAAAGCGTTCAGTCAATCAGCTAACCTTAGACAACATGAGAGAACACACACTGGAGAGAAACCATATGAATGTCACCTGTGTGGGAAAGCTTTCAGTCATTCTTGTTCCCTTAAACAACATAAAAGAATACACACTGGAGAGAGGCCATATGAATGTCATCTGTGTGGAAAAGCCTTTAGTCAGTTTTCTTCCCTTAAACAACATGAGAGAACACACACTGGAGAAAGGCCATATGGATGTCATCTTTGTGGGAAAGCTTTCAGTCAGTCTTCTTCCCTTAAACAACATGAAAGAACACATACTGGAGAGAGGCCATATGAATGTCATTTGTGTGGAAAAACCTTTATTCATATCTCTGACCTTAGAAAACACAATCGAACTCACACTGGAGAGAAACCATATGAATGTCACCTGTGTGAGAAAGCCTTCAGTACATCTTCTAAATATAGACAGCATGAGAGAATGCATACTGGAGAGAAACCATATGAATGTCATCTGTGTGGGAAAGCCTTCAGCAATTCTTCTTCCTTTAGACGACATGAGAGAATACACACTGGTGAGAAACCATATGAATGTCATCTGTGTGGGAAAGCCTTTAGCAGATCTTCTGTCCTTAGACTGCATGAACAGACTCATACTACAAAGTAAGAAATATGTTCAGCCAATACTCAGGCCTAAAATGACATGGTAATACATACTCATGTAATGAATTGGAAAGAGTCTGCGAATATACTTGAACAATTTAATGACATCTGAGGATGCCCACTATCAAGATACACTCTCTGGAACCAGTGTGGAAGATCATGCAGTCATCCTTACTTTTTTGACATACAAAAGTTTATATGGAAGAGAAGCCATCTGAATTCTATGGGGTGAATATTCACTCAGTGGTCTGCCATAATAGCATGAGATCAATTACCTACTTCTAATGAATATATTGATAGAAGTTTTCAACAACAGATTTAAATCTTAAACATACTAGAGGACCTATACAGGGGGGGATCCCCTAGACCTGTAATTAATATGGGATTATCTCTGTGTAAAATGTATTTTAATGAACAAACTCTACTTGGTAGAACCCCTTAGACTCTTGTAATTAAACAATCATTCACTCAAGCAGCAGTTTTTGTGTTGGTGTGTGTGCACACACAAACACACACACAATGAAGGAATAGCTCTGAAAACAATGAGAATAAAACATTTTGAGAAATATCAAATAATTCATTTTAGAGAAATGATTTAAATGATAACTCACTAGAAATATAATCCCTTGTTCATAGAATAACACATATGGCCTCTATAAAGATTCACACTGGATAAAATACTCTCAATGTCATAAATGAAGGAGAGACTTTAGTGGTCACTTACGTCATAGTCAACTGAGGAGACACGAATCCTAAAATCCAAGTGAAGAATACTTAGACAGATTTTACATCAGAACACTGAGTTTGAAAAAAAAGCAATGAATAATTCTAAAAGGATCTTTTAGCAAATAATTATGTAATTCAGAATATTGAGTAAATGACTTATTAAAAATGAATTTCATTAAATCTAAGATAGATTCTCTGGGAATAGTAAATGTAGACACTTGAAATAGACCAAATTAGATTTGATTTGCAAGTAGAAATTAAATTGATATTTGCAAATAGGGGGTGAATGGTGGTGCAGTAGTAAAATGTGATGCTCTGTGAGGTAGATTTATGTGAAAAGGTTACAGGTTGAAGTACAGTGACCTCTCTGAGTATGCCAGACACATGTATGTCCATTATCCAGGCTGACTAAAACTGAGGGTGGATTGCTGAATAAAGACCTTGTCCATGGTGCTGTATTTGTGTTTCTGTCCCCTTTGTATCACTCACAAAATAATAAAGAAAAACTAAAACCAATTTGCATATATTTAAACAACAGAACCTGTCAGAAAAGTCTAATATGATAATGTTCTCATTTTAAATATGCAGATTTAAACTCAGATTTGTATCTGGATTCTCTTTCATGTGAGTAGACAGCCTCATTATCCTGTTTTCCAACAATTCCTTCCACAAAGATAACATCTCCTCATCTCAACGTTTCACCAACACAAGTCTCCTTCTATGTCTTGAGTATAATACCACAGAAAAACTCATCTTGGTATCTAAGTATCTCAGAATGCCATGATCACAGTCTTTGTAGACATTATCATAGATATCTAATCAACAGCCTGTTGGTGACATCTCAATCTTTCTTTCTCTCCCCGGAAAGTACCTTGGGACAGAGAGACAGGCATTGGGTTTGCTGTACTACAAAACAGTCTAGATTTTTTGCCCTCAGCCTCTGAATTGAACTAAGTAGAGAAAAGAGTTCATCCTGTGATCATCTCCCATATCCTAATTATGCCAGTATTGATGTAAATTACATTAAAAAAAGACTTTAACAAAACTCTTTTAGAGCTAATAAATTTGGTAAAGCTGCAGAATAAATAATCAATGTATAAAACCACAAATAATTAACTAGCTGCAAAAGGCATCCTTTTTTTTTTTTTTTTTTCCTTTTTGGAGAAGTTTTTGCTATAGGGCATATGCACTCTCCAGAAAGAGACAGAGACAGACAGAAAGCAAGAAATTCCCCCCCCCCAGGGGGGATGGCCACGGAGCAATCCCCTCTCCTTCTTTCTCCTCTCAGGATCTTGGGAATGCACACACACGCTCTGGTGTGAGTTTAAGCCACTGGGTCCGGAACTTGAGCTGTGGTCGACTATATGGGATTCCAGTGACATAGCCATTAAGCCAACTGCTGGCCCACCATCCTATTTATAATAGCTATAAAAAATAATAATATACCGGGAACCAGCAGTTAGTGTAATGGCTATGTCGCTGGACTCCCACGTAGTCGACCGTGGTTTGTGTCCTGGACCTGGTGGCTTAAAACTCACGCCAGGTGCATGTGCATGCGTGCCCAAGATCCCGAGAGGAGAATGGAGGAGAAGGGATTGCAGCGTGACCATCCCCTCTGGGGGGTAATTTCTTGCTTTCTGTCTCTATGTCTCTGTCTGTCTGGCGAGCACACACGCCCTATAGCAAAAGCCTCTCCAAAAAAAAAAAAAAAAGAAAAGAAAAAGAATAAAATACCTAGGAATAAATTTAACCAAATAAATGACTTCTTATTAAATAAACAGTTAATAAACCTAATTAGGAGACATTCCAGGGAACATGCCCTAATTGCACAGATATTGAACACAGACCTTTATTCACAGGACATATCCTGTTCAATTAGATGATATATTCCTGATGACTACAAAACTAAATCCTCACACAAAGTTGGGAAGCAAAGAATGATCATTTTGAGTGGTAATCAGATTCATACATTTTAATATGAGTATATTCTATGTCAGGATGCATTTTAGTTCTTGAAGTTACAGCAAGAAATGAGACATTGAGAGTTTTGGGGTTTTTTTTGAGAGGTTTTTGCTATAGGGCGTGTGCGCTCACCAGACAGACAGAGACATAGAGACAGAAAACAAGAAATCACCCCCCCACGGGGGATGGTCACACCACAATCCCTTCTCCTCTATTCTCCTCTCGGGATCTTGGGCACGCACGCACATGCACCTGGTGTGAGTTTTAAGCCACCGGGTCTGGGACGCGAACCGCGGTCAACTACGTCGGAGTCCAGCAACATAGCCATTACGCTAACTGCTAGTTCCCTAGAGACACTGTGAGTTTTGATGGACATAAAACTGAAATTCCCTCTGGAAAATTAAAATAAAAAAAATGAACACATGTGTCCTCTGGTAATTAAACAAAACATTCAGTTTACAAAGAATTATGTAAAAATATAAGCTACTGGAAAGGGAGGGTAGTAGGGTGCTAGCCATATAGTACCTTAAAATTGTGAAGAACTTAACAATTTTCAAAAGAAAATGGAAAACCAATTTCATATTATTTTTGGCTAGTTAGAAAATAACTAAAATTGGGACCCGCAGGTGGCATAATGGCTACATTGCAGGACTTCCATGCAGTCGATCATGGTTCGATTCCCAGACTCGGTGGCTTAAACTCACGCCAGGCACATGTGCATGCATGCCCAAGTTCCAGAGAGGAGAATGGAGAAGGGATTGCAGTGTGGCCACCCCCCTGGAGAGTTATTTCTCTCTCTCTCTCTGTTTCTGGTGAGTGCGCGCAGCCTATAATAAAAACCTCCACCACCCCCCCAAAAAAATAATAAATAAACTAAAATATAACTACATAGCACAATATAATAAATGGCTTTATTGCTTTCTCATTCACAATCCAACTACGGGCTAGCCCTTATTGCCACACTCTTAAAAAACTGCAGAATAATAGATGTTGGCGAGGCTGTGGTGAAAAGAGAGCCCTCCTAAACTATTGGTGGGAACATAAATTAGCTCAGTCACTGTGGAGAATATACAGGTTTCTCAAAACTTACAAACAGAATATTCTTACAACCCAGTAATTTCACTTCTGGGTATCTACTCAAAGAATAGGAAAACAGTCAAGAAAGCACTTGCGCATCCATGTTTATTTTGGCACTTTTTTTTCTCTTTTTTTTTTGGGAGAGGTTTTAGCTATAGGGCACATGCGCTCGCCAGAAAGAGACAGAGAGAGAGAGATAGAAAGTGAGAAATCCCCCCCCCCCCCAGGGTGGATGGCCACACTGCAACCCCTTCTCCTCCATTCTCCTCTTGGGATCTTGGGCACACACATACATGCGCCCGGCGTGAGTTTAAGCCACTGGGTCTGGGATGCAAACCATGGTTGGCTACATGGGAGTCCAGTGACATAGCCATTACGCTAACTGCCAGTCCCTTTATTTTGGCACTTTTCACAATTGCTAAGACATGGAATCAACCCAATGTCCAAGGACAGATGACTGGACTGATCATGGGGCACATATATACTATGGAATACTGCTCAGCCATAAAAAACAATAAGACTCTGACATTTGATACAAAGTAGATGAATATGGAATATTTAACACTAAGTGAAACAAGCCAGACCAAAAGATAGGCTCATTGCATGTCTCTACTTAATATACACTGAATGTCTGCACTCTATGGCATAACTGAAAGATAGGAAGCAGGAAGAACAACTGAAGGTACTAGACAGTATAAGAGAGGGTTGGGTAATAATAGGGTGAGAGCAAAAATATCATGGAAAAAATATTTAACAGAAACAAAAAAGAAAAGTTATCTGTTGATGATAATGTATATGATAATACCTATGACTTGACTAATCTGCACTGTGTTCATGCTGGGAAAAACCATTTTGTATGCTGTAAAGATGTACAGTGATTAAGTATAAGTTAAAAATAAAAATAAAATGCTTAAAATCCCTTAGTATAAGGAACAGGCATATCAAAACTACAATGAGCTATTACTTAGCTAGTCAGAATAGCTAAGATTAAAAAAAATAAAAGAGTGATAAATGTTGGCAAGAGTAGTGAAGAGACATTTTCCTATACCATTGGTAACATGAGTACAACTTCTATAGAGAACAATATGGAGGTTACTCAAATACCTTCTAACAGAACTACTGTAAGATCCAGTAATTCCATTCCTGGATATCTATCCAAATGCTAGGAATACAGAAAAACAGTTGGACATCCATGTTTATTACAGCATTACTTACAAGTGCTAAAACATGCTATCAACCCAAATGTCCAAGAACAGATAAAATAACTGAAAAAGTGTGGCACATATATACTATGGAATACTACTCAGCCATAAATAACAGTGAGACCCTGGCATTTGATATAAAGTGGATGAATATGGAAGACTTAATGCTAAGCAAAGCAAGTCAAACAATGAAAGAGAGGCACTGTCCCCATTTAAGTCCCCACTTAGTATATACTGAATGTCTACACTCTATGGCAGAAGCTGAAAGATTGGAAGGTATAAAAGCACGGAGAGCAACTGTGGAAAATATAGACAGTGTGGGAGGAGGGTGGGCAATGGAGGAGGAGGAAAGGAGGGAATTAAGGGGAAAAAAAAAGGCAAAACATTTAATGGACACAAAATGGGAAATGATCTGTTGATAATGTGTATAGTAATATCTTTGGCCTAATATGCAGTGTATTTATGCTGGGAAAATTAATTTTGTATGTTGTAAAGATGTACAATGATTAAATGTAAAAAATGAAAGGAAATAAATTTTAAAATGGTTTTTTTTTAAGAGTTTTTATTTATCTCTATTTATTT